AAGTAGTGCTATTAGGTCGACTAACAACACTGAGGCGAATTTGTGAGTTGGTGAGGTCTGTTTCGGTTGATCAATGCTTCTGTAACTAATCAACAGTTCCCAAAGCTCCATTGAGCTCTAACATGAATGCTCAACCGATCCGCATGTGTATTTGCCTGAGCGAGCCTAAAAATTGCTAGCAGAAAACACTTCCTTGACAATACATCGACCAATTTTGTTTGGAGAAACAAACCAAGTTAATCAAGGTAGCTGCCGATTGACAACGAAGACTGCAAGTAACTGAGTGAGCATTTGGATGAGATTACCGCTTTGGCGCCTGCCAACCAAACACGGAAGGATCGGCCGGTTGTCCTAATGGTGTAGAGGACACAGAACGTCCGAGAATCCGTATCGTGGCAACAGTCTGAGTAGATCTGCAGCCCGGCACCAATGAAGGGCTACGCCCCATTTATGAACGATAAATGGGTTAATGCTTAGCACCAACAGCCTTGGATCCCTAAATCCATCTCCAGTAGAATGTAAGCCATGCTAATTAGGTTTAACAATGCCTCACCCCTTTTCAGCAAAACGAGAAATGCACAGATAAACATGCCAATTGCTCACGTTGCGGAAGCAACTCAAAAAACGTCAATAGCGAGACTAAACACAAACCAACAACGACATGGAAAGAAAGATGAAGGCAAGATGGAGTGGTCTGACAGCATTAAATGCCTTTAGAGAGAATGAGTGGAACAGTGACATTGCGTCACGAAGTAAAAGTAGAGGACGAAGAGCGGAGACGATCCAACAATGAACGCAATTTCTTCACGGCCTTGGAGCGATGTGAGATGGCGTTCTTCTCATCTGCCGACATCTCTGCGTAGGTTTGTCCCTTTGTTGCTTCTATCGGTGCGAAGCACGAATCCCAACCGAAGCCTCCACAGCCACGTGGGGACACAATGCAGCCTCGAGTTACGCCCTGAAACACCTCCACCATCGTCTCCTTAATTGTAGATGTGTAAGCAAACGTACAGATTGCTGAGGCCCCATTGCATAGCTCTTCATCATTCGTGGTCCTAAAGCCTTCTAGCAACTTCCTTAAACCTGGACAAGTGAGGGAAAAGGAAGCGATAAAACCTATTAACCGGTAGTTCCTGAAGCCTTAGCTCTTGAGTTGAACAAATCCTCACTTGTCTTGGACAAGAAAGCATGTTTAGTTTAGGTTTCTTTTTAGTAATTGCAAACAACTTCCGTAATTGGATGGGTCGAAAACGCACCTAACCAAACATCTCATTGAGAAACTCATTTAGCTAAAG